GTGAAAACTGAAGTCAACACTAAGAGGCAACAGTCTGTTTCATGCTAGATGCAACCGTCAGGCCATCGATATATATATATATATATATATATATATATATATATATATATATATATATATATATATATTAACGCTAAAATCACTCTAGTAGACGGCAATGCTTATATTTCGTATATAAGGGTGAGAGTGTCCGACTGATATTAAATCGGTCAGGTCTCGATCCCGGCTTGAGCCAATCGCATCTCTGGCTATAGTGATGATATTTGAAACAGCGAAACAGTCTGTCGATATATATATATATATATATATATATATATATATTTCTAAAGAATTAAAAAGTTTATTTTATCCAACATTTATATTACCGCAAACGTTATTTATTGGAAACTGCGTATTTGAAAAAGACGCACCATTTTTATTTATTAAACAGTGTGTATACGCTTTTCTTAAGCAGGGAAAATAGAGCCTTGTATTGCTGTAACGTTTTTCGTGGCCGATCGGTAAAGTACGCCGAATCATACCGTGATTCACCCTACAAAGATTTTTCGAATGCAGAGTTCGATATACGTAATACACACAGTTTAATAAATAAAAATGAGGAGCCTATTTTATATATGAAGTGTCCATCATAACGTTTAAATTGTATATATATATATATATATATATATATATATATATATATATATATATATATGGAATAAATGGAATAAATAACAAAAATATTATTCTTATAAGAGTGCTCCATACAGAGTAGAGCAAATATAATTTATTCAAAAATTATAACATAAACATGTTATAAAATCACTATATGTTCATACAGACATCCTCAGGTATGGAATAGATTTTGTTCTTGTTTTTTCTCTCAGTAATAAGATGACAACGAAAATATATGTACTGTTGTAATCCGAAAAATTATTTTTACAAGCTTGTATGAACAGACGAAAGCTTGTAAAAATAATAAGAACTCATGCAGCAGGAATTTATAAAAACAAGGATCTTTTCGTTCATAAACAGATTCGGGGTTTTTGTATATTATTTGAATTGTTCGCGACGATGGATTTCTCGCCAATTAAATCATTAACCTTTGTATTTGTTTTTTGTATGAATAATTCATGAATTTGTAAATTGATTGCACCTTTATTGAAATATATATATATATATATATATATATATATATATATATATATATATAATGCCCCGAAAACAACCTAGTTACATTTTATAATTGCTGAAAGGACCCCGAACTATCGCCAGTCACTCTACCTTGAAAGACTATTAGGCCTAAAACTCCCACCTAACTTCAAGTTGCTTCCCCAATGTTCAAATATAAGTGCAATGTCAATCGACATCTGACGCCCTGAGCTTGTATCCTTTCCCCAAACAGGCCTCTTTACTCTTGTTCTCAATCTTCTGTAACCCCTTGCATGCACTCCCGCCTTGCTTGGGGTGAATTGCTTAAAAAATAGTGAAACTTGTACATACGATCGATTGCTAAGCATGCAGGTAAAATGGTCGGCTCTCTGTACCTCTCCAGCAAATATCTGACTTTTCATATCCTTTACCTTTTTAAGATCCAGATCAGGCCAAAAATGAAGTACTGTTGTTGTCATATTTGGTCGGGAGCTGCCAAACCTCACTCTCTAGCCTTAATAGAGTCCAAAAGCTTCTGCTAGCCCTTGTGGATGATGAATTATTCATTAGCCTCTAACCTCTCTCTCTCAGACAGGCGGAATGTGGTAAGCTTCTCACTGCTTTATCGCTATTTCCACGGAAAGTGCTTGGACGAACTACATTCCCTGGTTCCACCAATTCAAACCTTCACAGCAAGGACCCGTCATGCCACTAGCAAACCATCCATATTCTCTCTGTATTCCATCGGTGAGAAGTAAGTTCCATTTTAAAAGCTTCTTCCAGTGAACCACTGTCGTGTGAAACTCACTCCCAAGAGGAGGTTTCCCCAATAACTAGAATCTTAACTTGTTCAAGCCTAGGGTTAACAGTTATCTCCCCACTCCTATCCGCACAAATTTCCTCCTAACAAAATCCTCTACATCAAGTCGCTTTTTGGCCTTGTACAGGGTGAACCTCACTGTATATATATATATATATATATATATATATATATATATATATATATATATATATATATAACTTTAAAAATAAGATCAGTTGAATCTCTACATACATATATATATATATATATATATATATATATATATATATATATATATGTGTGTGTGTGTGTGTGTGTGTGTGTCTGCAAAGACAATACTTAAAGAGCTTCTTCGAACGAAACACATCGGCCTATTTTCAGAGTTCCAATACCGGTCAGTTCGATCCTCACGACGTGCTCGATATTTGTGACCTTCTACCAAACTAAGCTAATTGAATGGCTAGTCTTGAACTGAGGTTTACAAAGATGGTTTCGCTGATCTTAATATTGAATGGTGAGTTTGATCATCACTTAATGCTCCAAATTTTTATACCTTGTGTCAGGTACTAATTTTAGCTTATGTGCGTTGCAGTGTAATCGATGAGGAAATCAGGGAGCCAAGTTCGAATTCCAGTCAAGTTCATTACATTCACTTACGTACCAGTACCCTTGGGAAAGGCATGAATCCATATATTCTTCTTCTAGCTATGGGTTGAATAGTAGAACAGACTGGGTCTTATCGCCTTGATTGCCAACCAGTCTACCGCAGTAAGAAACGGAAACCTACTGAGGTAAATCCTGCCTAGTCAGCCATTTATTGAAAGAGACATGATCACCCAAGTGTGTATGACGTATTTTATACCAGACTATAAGAGGAATGGTTTACAATGGTATTTGGAGGTCTACCTGTCACTGCACCTCATTCAAGTCCCGTAAATGTCCATAACGAGTTTCGGTAGACAGCAAACAAATGTTTCCAAAACTTTGGGGGCTACGGCTCTGAAGGCGAATTTTTTTTAACTTAGCGAGTAATCTTCAGATTGGAAAGCATAATTTCAGTGTGTTGTTTATTGTACATTTAGTTTTATGCAACAGTTTAATAATCCAGTAATTTAATAATAACCAATAAATCTTGTTAGTTTTTATGTTGATCAGGAAAAACACGAAAGGCATAGTTTTAGGTAGTGTATATGCTGACGTACAAGGCGACTGGGCGTATAAGACTATCCCCAAATTTTCAAGTTAAGATAAAGATTTCGGGCTATATTCGCCGTACAAGACGACCCCCAAAATCGTATTTTAAAATGTATTGAATTTATTAGATAAATTCAATAAGCATATACTTTCTTTTCACCTATATTCTAATGAATAGGGAGAGACATTGTCAATTAACTCTCACAATCTACAATACCTTATGAGTGGATGCTGTGTTTTCAGTAGGCTATTACGGTAAACTGAACGACTTTTCCTCGCTAACCATCCACTCGTTCCACTGTTCTCGAATGCGATCTTTAAACGGCTTGTTAAGACACATATCCAGTTGTGTTTTTGTTCAACATCATCGAAAGAAGGAGGTGAGATATTGTCAGTTAACTAACTCAGGATTTAAGGTTCACATTTTCATACCTGGCGTATAAGACGAGAGAGTTTGAAGCTTACAATGTCACCTTGTAACCTTCCCCCCACTTGATCGAGATGTGACACAAGGTCTTTTTTTTAGGTGGGGCCCCAGGCGCGTACGCCCGGGACAAGGACAAAAATTGCCCTCAGCTTCCGCAACCGACGGTTGAGCTGGCCTCGGTGCGTGCACCGATCCCTCCCACTGAGTCATGTTGTGACACAAGGTCGGTTTTTAAAGTGGGGACCCGAGGGTTTCCATTCGGGCCGCTGGTCTTAGCTTGTCTAAGCTAGTCATAGCCGGTTATACCACAGCTACGTAACAGATGTTACGCACCTATATGGGTGGGGGGAGCAATGGAGGAGGGAAGGCCTCTGGTACAGAACAGATACTACGTCTGCAGTATCCATTCTGACGGGAAAAGCACACTTCTGCTCTGCCAATCACACCAAAAGCACCCCCTATAAGGACTTTCTCTTCGCGGAATAAAACTTGAATTTGCTTTTATTTCAGGGTTGCAATAAGAGGGTAACTCGAAAAATAGAACTCTATTCTAGTTTCTTGCTTACCTTCCACTTACAATCTTTAAAACTTTAAATGCTGTGTCAATCGCCATCTTCTGTCTTTCTGAAACCCTTATCTCGGTACCACCCCAAGCAAGGCAGTAAAGCCACTAAGACGCAAGGGATTACAGGGTGTGGAAGAATTAGGAACAGAAACTTTTCTAATGAGCGGGAAGAGAGAAGAGTAATCAGGAGGACAGCAGATAGCGATTGACATTACATTTAAATTTTTGCAGATTAAAGTTATCCGGAAAGCATGGAACCGGAAGGAAGTTCTAAAAGCAAGAAGTGCGAGAAAAGAAGCTGATAGCATAGAATTTGCGGCTATATCTATAGCCAGATCGACCGTAAATTGATGACACCTCAACGCCAGTCTAGTACTGCGCTTAAATTCATAAAGTCTAGTTGACATAGCGAAGAGCTCATCCGAACAATTACCATGAAAAAATATATAAAAAAAGCATAGAGAGGCAACCTTATGGCAGTGGGAAAGTGACTGAGGCCGAGCTGCCAGATCACGACCAATAATATTGCTGATCCTTCTTTGGACCTTATCAAGGAGCTCAAAGTAAATAGCAGGGGAACCAAACCATATGTTACAATAATATTCTAAGCATGGACGAATGGTAGACTTATAGATATGTAAGACAGAGCCGTACTGTTATTGTTCTTTCTCCTCACTATGGTCCTCTCATATTCTTTCACTCACAGTATATATATATATATATATATATATATATATATATATATATATATATATATATATAATATTTATAATGATAAACACCAATCTTTTCCGCTAACGCGCTTTCCACCAATAAATGGTTTCTTCAGGCAGTGAAAAGGTCAATTATTTTACTAGAAATTATTTAGGCACATTATATTATTACAGGAAAGCGTAATGGGAGGAAAAAAATTTAGAGTAGAGAAAAATGTGAGAGAAAAGTTGGGAAAAATGTGAGAGAGAAAAGTTGGGAAAAATGTGAGAGAGAAAAGTTGGGAAAAATGTGAGAGAGAAAAGTTGGGAAAAATGTGAGAGAGAAAAGTTGGGAAAAATGTGAGAGAGAAAAGTTGGGAAAAATGTGAGAGAAAAGTTGGGAGAAAAATGAGAGAGAAAAGTTGGGAAAATGAGAGAGAAAAGTTGGGAAAATGTGAGAGAGAAAAGTTGGGAAAAATGTGAAAAGTTGGGAGAGAAAAGTTGGGAAAATGTGAGAGAGAAAAGTTGGGGAAAAATGGGAAAAATGTGAGAGAAAAGTTGGGAAAAAATGTGAGAGAGAAAAGTTGGGAAAAAATGAGAGAGAAAAGTTGGGAAAAGAGTTGGGAAATGTGAGAGAGAAAAGTTGGGAAAAATAGTAAAAGAAATTAAGATTTTGGTACTCTCATCCAGCTTCATATTTTTCTAATAAATACTTTGCGTGTTTGCAAGCAGCAATTATCTTAGTATGTTGTCCCGCTCTGAATACGACATAATAGCGAGCTTATCTTCTTGACATAATCTATACATGATATTACCAATGCTATATGGCTTGGCTTTCTTAAAAATACTCCAATATACCGTAGGGCTTTTAACATATTTTTATTTTAGTTCTCACACATGGCTAACCAGTTTTGTACAATGTTTGTAACTTTCCAACATAAACGATGATTGACTGTTGTATCAGCTTTTCATGAAGCTGCCTTCTGTGCACCCGAAATATACATTACTTTAGCCCTCTTTATACTCCACCTCTGCCTCTCCCTTCAGTTTTACATGCTCTGTTTATTGGACACATATTCTTACATTATGAAATGGACAAAGTCCGACAATTATTTAAGACATTTTTTTTATGTTTAACTATGAAAAGAACGTATAAACATAAAAAATGTCTTAAATAATTGTCGGACTTTGTCCATTTCATAATGTTTGACGTCATTTGTTTACATTTGGATACGCATTGAGCAGATATGAATGAATGAGAGAAAATCATGGAGAATTGTGTTTTAAAACAGTAAAATCGACCTCCGTGGCTCAATCGGTAAAAGCACGTCGGGCTATATGACGGTTCAGTATAGGATACAGGTTCGATTCCTGTCGGAGGACGCATATTTTCTATGAAAATTTCTCGGACATTCAGGCCGGTAAATGTTGTTAATACCGTTTATTATAAACAGAGCATTTACTTAAATATTTGTATCTATAAAAAGAACGTATACACATATTCTTGTTTCTACAGTTACACACGTGATCTGTTTTATCATTATTCTGCACGTGATCTTTATAAAAGTTCTTGATATTATATATTTTTAATTATATTTTCCAAGTTACAGATACAACAATAAGTTATTTTCACAGTATTCCTGTTGAAAATTGTATGCCACTCAGCAGTTTTGGGGAAGTTTCAATAAATCAGTTTAAAAAGAAACATTTTTCACTCCGAGATTGAAAAGGGGGTGGCGATTAAACCCAATGATATATCTTTTTCTTTTGATGTTCCTTTTGATTGGGTGGAACGTTTGAGGTTTAAATTCAAGCCTGATTTTCTTACCCCTCTTCTGATAACGCTCTTTCATATACTTTCTTTTTTCTTCAAAAATATTTTTACCTGAAGAATTTCTGGATAGACTGTATTAAATGCCTCTTGGGACGTGTTTGATCGCACCTTTTGGGATGGTTACATCGAGTGTTTAGATATTTTAACTTGCTGTTTGGTTTCATGTACGGGGAGACGTTGCCAGTGTGTAAATTCAATTTCACGCCCAGGTATTGAACTAATTTCAAGTTCATATCAACCTCTATAATAAAACCGAGTTTTTTGAAGAGATTTTCCCGCTCTTTCCTTATTTTATCATTCCTGCTTCTTTTATCTGCTATTACCATTAATCCGTCATTGAATGCGGGCTATCCAGGAATTCTTCCAGTTCTCTAATCTTTGTGACAAAATATAGATCTATTGAGTGTACTTTTGTAATTCTCCCTTTCTTGAATGTTACTTTTTCATATTTATCTAATCTGAAATCCATACCGATGTCATCACTGAAACATTTTACGCTATTGAGGATACCCTTCAACTCATTGTCGTCTTTTGCAAAGAGTTTGAGATCATCCATGTAGAATAGGTGATTAAACACTTTCTTCTTTACTTTATATCCATAGTTATTGTTGTTTAACTCATGTGAAAGGGGGGATTAAGGACAGACAGAACAGAAGGGTCGACAGGGAATTTCCTTGAAATATTCCTCGTCTTATGTTCAAGCGATTGGAAATGGTAGTGCCTTTACTGTGATTTAGATATAATGTGGTGTTCCACAGTCCCATGCTATATCTAAGGAAGATATAGGAGGAGATTTTGTACATTTCCAAAGCCTTAAGGATCCAATAGTGTGGCACACTGCCAAAGGTTTTACTGTAATCTATCCAAGTTGTGCTGAGATTTCTACCTTTTTTCCTGCAATTTTCCAGGACCATTTTATTTATCAATAGTTGATCTTTGGAACTATATGAACCTCTTCAACATCCCTTTTGCTCCAGAGGAAGAATGTTGTTTACATTTCGTCAGGACAGATGTGATCAATTTATATGTGTTAGACAGTCATGTTATTGGTCTATAATTTTTACATCATCTGTTTCAGCCGTTTTTGGTAGGAGGATTTCATTGGAATTATTCGCATTGATAAAGTTTGCACAAGGGTTTTATGGATTGGTGGCAGATGATAGAATCAAAAGTTGAGTATTTGTCATTTCCCGAGGATTTCCATTTTGGGGATTTTGTTAGAGCTTGCCTAGCATTATTCTTCGTAATATTTTCCCGTTCCTTTGCAGGTTTATCCTTCATTCTTTCTTGCTCTCTTTTTCCAGAATATTTTGCACTTCTTCAATAGATGGCGGCTTTTTGACTTCTATAACTTATTTTTCAATTTCCCTGTCTGTTTTGAGGTTCGTTTGGAATGTCGTATTTTGCCGACAGAACATACAATGCTTTTCATATCGTCTTCTTCTCTTTTGCCTTTAAATGCAGTTCTGTTTATGTATTTCCTTGATTGGTGGAATTTCATTTACTGTTTTAATTTTACATTCCCCATTGATCTTCCTGCTTTTCCGTGTGAAAACATTTTAATTTCTTCTTCTTCTTCTTCTTCTTCTTATTATTATTATTATTTCTTTGTGTTTCTGTTGTATACACATTTTCTTCAGGGTCCCAACAAGAGACCTAAGGTTAGAATTGGCTTCATGACATCTTCCACTGATCATTTTTTTGCAATAAAAACCCCCAAACCCTAAGATCAGACGCATTTTACATAGATAAAGCTCTTCGCACTGTGTGAGCTGTACTTGTGAGTACAATTTTTTGAATTTCTTTCAGGCATGGGCTACCAGTCCCATCAATCCGAGTGCTCCAAATACAATTGGAATTATTGATGTACTCATGTGCCACATTTTTGAAATTTCCACTTCAAGGTCCTTGTATTTTGATAGCTTTTTGAACTATTATTATTATTATTCAGAGTTTTTTTCTTAATGTCTGGCTTTTTTCACTCATGTTATCGAGTTCATCCTTTGAAGCTGGGGCTGCCATGAGATTTTGATATTCAGTGGATAGAGCACGTTTTAATATATGAGCAGTACCGAGGACGTCGATCTCCTGGAAATTTTGTTCTTGAGGTATGGTGCCAACAAGACTCCTCATAACTTAAGAATTTTCAGAGAATCCCCACAGAGTAAATGATGGCATTTTTCTGGATGTCTACAATCTTTGTCTTAATTTCAATTCTCCCTAAGCACTCTTTCAATTTTCTAGATAATGTAGCAAGCGCATCCATTACTACTGAAATTAATTCTACATTTATGTTCCTTCAGCTCCCAAGCTAGATCCTGGTATTATTCTGTCTGATGCTGTTGTTGTTGTTGTTGTTGTTATTATTATTGAATGAGAACAATGAACTAAGAATGTGTCGTTGAGGTTCAAATATACAAAACCCAATATACTCATCATGATACGCATTTTAATAAAGGTATGTCACCGTTCTGGGTAAGACGATAAACTACATCCAACAGCAAGGCCTCTGATCTAGGAGGTTTTGAGGACCGTGGAACCACCTCTTGATTACTGGTGTTCCCAGGTCCACCCTGATCCGGGGGTGGTAGCACCTGTTAGGGTCCCAGCTATGGGCAAATAGTTAACCCCCAAACTGGGGTCAAAACATTATGAAAGTGTAAAAATAGGATTTAATTCCAGATATATATTTTTGTAAAAGGTTATTACCAGCAATGAATGTTTGAAGAAAAGAATTACCAGCAACACATTTTTGAAAAAAAAAATCTTGTCGGCATTAAATAACCCATGGAGGTTGATATGCCGTAAACCAAACCAAACCAAACCAAACCAAACCAAATGTATGTCGGATACATGCATAACGAGTTTTTTATTATTATTATTATTGTGGTTGTCCCACTTTTCTTTAGTTCACATGACCTTTACGCCCTGTCAGTACATCACAATGAACTATTACGTTTTGATCACGTGGGAAGAGGGGAAAAGACACTACTCGGTTTCAGAAAAGAAAGAAAGAAAGAAAGAAAGAAAGAAAGAAAGAAAGAAAGAAAGGTAGGTAGGTAGGTAGGTAGGTAGGTAGGTAGGTAGGTAGGTAGGTCTACCTCATAAATAATGGACTATTCCGTTTTGATTGCGTGGGAAGAGAGGAAAAGACGCTACTCGGTTTCAGAAAAGAAAGAAAGAAAGAAAAAAGAAAGAAAGAAAGAAAGAAAGAAAGAAAGGTAGGTAGGTAGGTAGGTAGGTAGGTCTCCTGCCAATACCTCATAAATAATGGATTATTCCGTTTTGATTGCGTGGGAAGAGAGGAAAAGACACTACCCGGCTTCAGAAAAGAAAGAAAGAAAGAAAGAAAGAAAGAAAGAAAGAAAGAAAGAAAGAAGTGTTTAATGCCTGTTTCAGTGAAATGGAAAAAGTTTGTTTTATTTTATTTTTTTTTTACAATAAATTTCATCCTGTACAATGTCCGGTGGCCACTCGAGGTAGAGGGTTATGTCATGAGGAAGTTTGTACGGATAGGAAGGTAACGGTTAACCCTAGACTTGAACAGGTTAAGATTGTAGTAATCGGTGAAACACCCTCTTGGGAGATGGTCCAACAGAGCAATGATTCGCAAGAAGCTGTTCGAGTGGAACTTACTTTTCACCGATAGAATACGGAGGAGGGAATGCAGGTGGTTTGCTGCCATGCGACTGGCATGGCGGGTCTTTCCTGTGAAGGTATGAACTGGTAGCGCCAGGGAATGTCGTTCGTCCGGGCACTTTTCATGGTCGTAGCGATAGATCAGCGAGAGGCTTGCCACATCCCGAATGTGGGAGAGAGGTTTGGAGGGTGGAAATAATTCGTCACCCACAAATATTTGTCA